GTCAGAAGAGAAATATGGCCAGACAGCCTGGAAAACAGACAACAACCCAGTGATTCCAGCCATGAAAGCCTTCGGCAACCCTGAGATCTTGTTGATTTTATTGAATGCTTTCATGGCTGGAATCACTGGGTTGGTGTAGGTTTCTCGGGCTATATAGCCATGTTCTAGAACTCACATCCTCTGAGGATGCTTGCCATAAATGCAGGCGAAATATCAGGAGAGAATGCTTCTAGAACATGGCCATATAGCCCGAAAAACATACAACAACCCTTGTTTATTTTCATGGTTTCCTTTAGGGATTCCAGACAGGAAATTCCTACAGACAGAAAGCAGTCAGGCTTTAAAGCTGCTAGAGTCCCAATGGTTCTTAACTATGAGTCCCCAGGTGTTTTGGCCTTCAACTCCCAGAAATCCTAACAGCTGGTAAACTGGCTGGAATTTCTGGGAGTTGTAGGCCAAAAGTCCTGGGGAGGGGCCCACAGGTTGAAATCCACTGTAGCTAGACCAGGGGTCCTCAAACTAAGGCCTGGGGGCCGGATGCGGCCCTCGCTCAGGGTCAACCTAAGTCTGAAATGACTTGAAAGCACCCAAAAACAATCCTATCTCATCAGCCAAAAGCAGACCCACACTTCCCACTGAAATACTAGTAAGTTTATATTAGTTAAAATTATTCATTTTAATTATTGTAAGCACCAAACAACAACAATCCTATCTCATCAGCCAAAAGCAGGCCCACACTTCCCATTGAAATACTAATAGGTTTATATTAGTTAAAATTATTCTTCATTTTAATTATTGTATTATTTTTAAGTGTTTTTTGCACTACAAATAAGATATGCGCAGTGTGCATAAGAATTCATTCATGTTTTTTTTCCAAATTATAATCCGGCCCTCCAACAGTTTGAGGGACTGTGACCTGGCCCTCTGTTTAAAAAGTCTGAGGACCCCTGAGCTAGACCATTTAATGCTAATCAATTAAAAATTAGAAATAAGGCTTTTATGGCAGGAACAGGCCCGTAGCCAGGATTTTGATTCATGGGGGCTGAGTCTGAGTGAAAGAGGGTCTACCCTAGCAAACCTTTTGTATTGTTAAACCCCATACATATGGGATATATTGAGCATGGTGATCATGATATGAATAAACATAAAAGGTAAAGGTTGTCCCCTGACATTAAGTCCAGTCATGTCTGACTCTGGGGTGTGGTGCTCATCTCCATTTTTAAGCCGAAGAGCCAGCGTTGTCCATAGACACCTCCAAGGTCATGTGGCCAGCATGACCGCATGGAGCGCCGTTACCTTCCCGCTGGAGCGGTACCTATTGATCTACTCACACATTTGCATTTTTTCGAACTGCTAGGTTGGCAGAAGCTAGGGCTGACAGCGGAAGCTCACGCCGCTTCCTGGAATCGAACCTGCGACCTTTTGGTCAACAAGCTCAGCAGCTCAGCGCTTTAACTCACTGTGCCACCGGGACCCCAATGAATAAACATAACAGTTTAAATAATGTACCAGTAAGGCCTTCTCGTGGACCACCATGAGAATTGCGGGGGGGGGGACGGGGACTGAAGCCCCTCAAGCCCCCCCCTTCAGGGCTACATGCCTGGGCAGGAAGAAACAATCAGGGCCAGCTAACACTTCCCGACAAAAAGGATTCCCCCAAGCAGGAAGCAGCCAGGCTTTGAAGCTGCAAGACCATTCAATGTCAATTAAGCTGGCCAATTTCAACATCCACACTTGCCTTCATCAGAACAACCTCTGAGGAGGCCCTGCCATAGATGTTGGCGAAACGTCAGAAGAGAAATATGGCCAGACAGCCTGGAAAACAGACAACAACCCAGTGATTCCAGCCGTGAAAGCCTTCGACAACCCTGACATCATGTTTATTTTGTCAAAGGCTTTCATGGCTGGAATCACTGGGTTGGTGTAAGTTTTTCAGGCTATATGGCCATGTTCTAGAACTCACAACCTCTGAGGATGCTTGCTGTAGATGCAGGTGAAACATCAGGAGAGAATGCTTCTAGAATATGGCCATATAGCCCGAAAAACATACAACAACCCTTGTTTATTTTATTTATTTTCATGGTTTCCTTTATGAATTCCAGACAGGAAATTCAAACAGGCAGGAAGCAGCCATGCTTTAAAGCTGCTAGAGTCCCAATGGTTCTTAACTATGAGTCCCCAGGTGTTTTGGCCTTCAACTCCCAGAAATCCTAACAGCTGGTAAACTGGCTGGGATTTCTGGGAGTTGTAGGCCAAAACTCCTGGGGAGGGACCCACAGGTTGAGATCCACTGTAGCTAGACCAGGGGTCCTTAAACTAAGGCCCAGGGGCTGGATGCGGCCCTCCAAGGTCATTTACCTGGCCCTCACTCAGGGTCAACCTAAGTCTGAAATGTCTTGAAAGCACCCAACAACAATCCTATCTCATCAGCCAAAAGCAGGCCCACACTTCCCACTGAAATACTAATAAGTTTATATTTGTTAAAATTATTCTTCATTTTAATTATTGTATTGTTTTAAAGTGTTTTTTGCACTACAGATAAGCTATCTGCACTGTGCATAGGAATTCATTCATTTTTTTCCAAATTATAATCCTGCCCACCAACAGTTTGAGGGATTGTGACCTGGCTCTCTGTTTAAAAAGTTTGAGGACCCCTGAGCTAGACAATTTAATGCTAATCAATTAAAAATTAAATTAAATTAAAAAATTGATTGATTAGCCCAGCCACATGCACCATGGAGGACCTTCTTGCAGCAACACCAGAAGCACTCCAAGTGGCCAGAGACTGGTCAAAGGACATTTAATCAACTACCAAACTCACACATTTTGTATCTTCTCTGTTTGTTTGCTTTGTTCTGTTAGAAATGTAATACAATTGACTGGCTGCCCTGACACGAGAAATAAATAAATAAATTAAAAATTTAGAACTAAGGCTTTTGTGGCAGGAAGAAACAATCAGGGCCAGCTAACACCTTCCGACAAAAAGGATTCCCCCAGGCAGGAAGTAGCCAGGCTTTGAACCTGCAAGGCCATTCAATGCCATTCAATGTCAATCAATTCACACTTGCCTCCAGCAGAACAGAACAACCTCTGAGGGGGATGCCTGCCATAAATGTGGGTGAAACGTCAGGAGAGAATGCTTCTAGAATATGGCGACATAGCCCGAAAAACATGCCTAGGCAGGAAGAAACAATCAGGGCCAGCTAACACCTCCTGACAAAAAGGATTCCCCCAGGCAGGAAGGAGCCAGGCTTTGAACCTGCAAGGCATTAATGCTAATCAAGCTGGCCAATTGCAACATTCACACTTGCCTCAGACCTCACACCCTCTGAGGATGCCTGCCATAGATGTGGGCGAAACGTCAGGACAGAATGCTTCTGGAACATTGCCATATACCTGAAAAATTTAACCTGTATTTATGAGAAGACCGGTATACAACACTGCCAAATTAATAATAAATAAATAAATTGGGGGGGGGGGGGTTTGAAGACCCTCAAGCCCCCCCCCCCCTTCCTGGCTACATGCCTAGGTAGGAAGAAACAATCAGGGCCAGCTAACACCTTGCGACAAAAAGGATTCCCCCAGGCAGGAAGCAGCCAGGCTTTGAACCTGCAAGGCCATTCAATGCCAATCAATTCACACTTGCCTCCAGCAGAACAGAACAACCTCTGGGGGGGGGGGGTGTCTGCCATAAATGTGGGCGAAACGTCAGGAGAGAATGCTTCTGGAAATATGGCCATATACTCCGAAAAACATGCCTGGGCAGGAAGAAACAATGAGGGCCAGCTAACACCTCCTGACAAAAAGGATTCCCCCAGGCAGGAAGCAGCCAGGCTTTGAACCTGCAAGGCCATTCAATGCCAATCAAGCTGACCAACATTCACCCTTGCCTCCTGGCTGCTTCCTGCCTGGGGGAATCCTTTTTGGAGGAAGGTGTTAGCTGGCCCTGATTGTTTCTTTCTGCCCAGGCATGTTTTTCGGGCTATATGGCCATATTCTAGAACTCACAGCCTCTGAGGATGCTTGCTGTAGATGCAGGTGAAACATCAGGAGAGAATGCTTCTAGGATATGGCCATATAGTCCGAAAAACATGCTTGGGCAGGAAGAAACAATCAGGGCCAGCTAACACCTCCTGACAAAAAGGATTCCCCCAGGCAGGAAGCAGCCAGGCTTTGAACCTGCAAGGCCATTCAGAAACAATCAGGGCCAGCTAACACCTTGCGACAAAAAGGATTCCCCCAGGCAGTAAGCAGCCAGGCTTTGAACCTGCAAGACCATTCAGAAACTATCAGGGCCGGCTAACACCTTGCGACAAAAAGGATTCCCCCAGGCAGGAAGGAGACAGGTTTTGAACCTGCAAGGACATTCAGAAACAATCAGGGCCAGCTAACACCTTGCGACAAAAAGGATTCCCTCAGGCAGGAAGCAGCCAGGCTTTGAACCTGCAAGGCCATCCAGAAACAATCAGGGCCGGCTAACACCTTGCGACAAAAAGGATTCCCCCAGGCAGGAAGCAGCCAGGTTTTGAACCTGCAAGGCCATTCAGAAACAATCAGGGCCAGCTAACACCTTGTGACAAAAAGGATTCCCCCAGGCAGGAAGCAGCCAGGCTTTGAACCTGCAAGGCCATTCAATGCCAATCAAGCTGACCAACATTCACCCTTGCCTCCAGCAGAACAACCTCTGAGGGGGGGGGGGGTGCCTGCCATAGATGTGGGCGAAACGTCAGGAGAGAATGCTTCTGGAAATATAGCCAGGCAGCTCGGAACACTCACAGCGACCCATACATAGCATTATATAATATGAATCATGCCAGTCTCCTTGGGGGCAAAGTCACAACGTGGAGGGCTTCCCCAGTCTTCCCTTGGTGGGGTCCCCAAAGGGGCGCCCTGACCTCCCCTCAAGGCCCGCCTCCTCCCCCGCCAGCGCCTGTCAATCACCGCCTCAGAGAGGCCCTCCCCGCCATGGCTGCCTCTCCTTCCTTCTTTCCCTCCCTCACCGTTCTGGGCGCCGGTCGGCGTCGGGAAAAGGCTGCCTGCCGTCGCCAAGAGGAAGGAGAGAGCCGCCGGGAGCGGCCCGCATCGCCGCCGCTGCATCATCATCATCGGGAGGCTGGAACGGACGACGCCGGGGAAGAAGGAGGAAGGCGAGGAGCCAAGGAAAGAGAGGCGCCCGCTCTCCCCCTCAGGGCTGTTCTACCGCAGCGCCGGAGCCTCGCGAGAACTGCGCCCCCACCTCTCGCGAGAAGCACCAACACCATCCAATAAATAAATAAAGGAATAAGGAGATGCGGGAGAAGGAGGAGGAGGAAGGGGGCGGGGCCTGGCCAGGGGAAGCCACGCCCCCTCCCGCCCTCTCCCGCCCTCCCAGCCTCACCGTGTCACGTGACAGCTCCTTCAGCAATGCGGGTTCAAGGCTTCTTCTTCTTCTTTTTGGAATGCGGAAAATCCGGGTTGATCTGAAACGGATCCGAGATTCCCCCCCTTACACTCCTGTGTATGCAATGCAGAACTGCATTAGATGCTCATTGTAGACTCCTAGAATGCAGTGCAAGGCAGTTAAGCAAAGCACTGTCATACACATGCATTATTTATTACCTTTACTATGTATTATTATTAATATTGCATTATAGATTATATGTATTCCTTTAGTATTAGTATGTATTATGAGTATTACATTACATATTATATGTATTGTATTAGTATGTATGTATTATTAACATTAATATATATAATTAGTATTAAATTATTTATTATATGTATTATACTAGTATTAGTATTACATTACCTATTATATGTATTACATTAGTATTAGTATGCATTATGAGTATTACATTACATGTATGTATTATATTCATATTCTCAGTAGTATGTATGTATTATTATCATTAGTATATATATATAATTAGTATTACATTATTTATTATATGTATTATACTAGTATTAGTATTACATTACCTATTATATGTATTATATTAGCATTAGTATGTATTAGTATTACATTCCATATTATACATATTATACTACTATTACTATGTGTTATTAGTATTACATTACCTATTATATGTATTATATTCATATTCTTATTAGTAGTAATATGTATGTATTATTTCCATTAGTATATATAATTAGTACTAAATTATTTATTATATGTATTATACTAGTATTAGTATTATTAGTATTACATTACCTATTATATGTATTATATTCATATTCTTATTAGTAGTAATATGTATGTATTATTTCCATTAGTATATATAATTAGTACTAAATTATTTATTATATGTATTATACTAGTATTAGTATTATTAGTATTACATTACCTATTATATGTATTATATTCATATTCTTATTAGTAGTAATATGTATGTATTATTTCCATTAGTATATATAATTAGTACTAAATTATTTATTATATGTATTATACTAGTATTAGTATTATTAGTATTACATTACCTATTATATGTATTATATTCATATTCTTATTAGTAGTAATATGTATGTATTATTTCCATTAGTATATATAATTAGTACTAAATTATTTATTATATGTATTATACTAGTATTAGTATTATTAGTATTACATTACCTATTATATGTATTATATTTGTATTACTATGTGTTATTAGTATTACATTACCTATTATATGTATTATATTTGTATTAGTATGAATTATTAGTATTACATTACCTATTATATGTATTATATTAGTGTTAGTATGTATTGTTAGTATTACATTTCATATTATATGTATTATACTAGTATTAGTATGTATTATGAGTGTTGCATTACCTATTATATTAGCATTAGTATGAATTATTAGTATTACATTCCATATTAAATGTATTATATTTGTATTACTATGTATTATTAGTATTACATTCAATAATATATGTATTATATTCATATTCTTATAAGTAATAGTATGTATGTATTATTACCATTAGTATATATAATTAGTATTAAGTTATTTATTATAAGTATTATACTAGTATTAGTATTATTATTATAGTATTAGTATTATTAGTATTACATTCCATATTAAATGTATTATATTAGTATGAATTATTAGTATTACATTCCATATTATATTATATTAGTATGTGTTATTAGTATTACATTACATGTTATATGTATTATACTACTATTAGTATGTATTATTAATATTACATTCCATATTGTATGTATTATATTCATATTAGTATGTATTATTAGTATTACATTCCATATTAAATGTATTATACTAGTATTAGTATGTATTATGAGTATTACATTACATATTATATGTATTATATTCATATTCTTAGTAGTAGTATGTATGTATTATTACCATTAGTATATATAATAATATTAAATTATTTATTATATGTATTATACTAGTATTGGTATTATTAGGATTACATTCCATATTAAATGAATTATATTCGTATTAGTATGAATTATTAGTATTACATTCCATATTAAATGTGTTATATTTGTATTAGTATGAATTATTAGTATTACATTCTATATTATATTAGTATTACTATGTATTATGAGTTTTACATTACCTATTATATCTATTATATTAGCATTAGTATGTATTACTATTACATTCCATATTAAATATTATTGTCGTATTAGTATGAATTATTAGTATTACTGCTTACTTCTTGGGAGGAGAGCAATGTCCAATCTCGATAAAATAGTAAAGAGTAGAGACATCACACTGGCAACATCACACTGGCGAGAAGATCCAATCAAGAAATAGTTTTCTTAGATCTACAAAGACACTTCGCTGGAACACCTCAGCAAGCAAGAGTCCAAAAGTGGCAGGCTCAAACCCAGAACCTCAATCAATGGCTGATACCAAATGAGAGACTCCCCCCTGGGCACACAGAAGACTGGGAGACTTGGAAGGCGCTGAACAGACTGCGCTCTGGCACCACGAGATGCAGAGCCAACCTTAAGAAATGGGGCCACAAAGTGGAATCCACGACATGCGAGTGTGGAGAAGAGCAAACCACTGACCACCTGCTGCAATGCACCTGAGCCCTGCCACATGCACGATGGAGGACCTTCTTGCGGCAACACCAGAGGCACTCCAAGTGGCCAGATACTGGTCCAAGGACATTTAATCAGCTACCAAGTTTGCAAAAATTGTTTTTTTATCTGTTTGTTTGTTTTGTTCTGTTAGAAATGTCATACAATGTTCTGGTTGCGGATGACACGATAAATAAATAAATGTACTGGCAACAAAGATCTGCCTAGTCAAAGCCATGGTATTCCCTGTAGTAACCTACGGATGTGAGAGCTGGACCTTAGGGAAGGCTGAGCGAAGGAAGAGAGATGCTTTTGAGCTGTGGTGTTGGAGGAAAGTGCTGAGAGTGCCTTGGACTGCGAGAAGATCCAACCAGTCCATCCTCCAGGAAATAAAGCCCGGCTGCTCACTGGAGGGAAGGAGACTAGAGACAAAGTTGAAGTCCTTTGGCCACATCATGAGGAGACAGCAAAGCCTAGAGAAGACAATGATGCTGGGGAAAGTGGAAGGCAAAAGGAAGAGGGGCCGACCAAGGGCAAGATGGATGGATGGCATCCTTGAAGTGACTGGACTGACCTTGAAGGAGCTGGGGGTGGTGACGGCCGACAGGGAGCTCTGGCGTGGGCTGGTCCATGAGGTCACGAAGAGTCGGAGACGACTGAACGAATGAACAACCAACAACATTAATATTACATTCTATATTATATGTATTATATTAGTATTAGTATTACATTACCTATTATATGTATTATACTAGTATTAGTATGTATTATTAGTATTACATTCCATATTATATGTATTACATTAGTATTAGTATGTATTATTAGTATTACATTCCATATTATATGTATTATATTAGTATTAGTATTACCTCACCTATTATATGTATTATACTAGTATTAGTATGCGACATCAATCATCCAAACATTTTTCTTTTCCACAATCGTGATGCCTGGTGTATTGTGTTCCAAAACTTTGTCAGTCTGGATTTGAAAGTCCCACAGTATTTTTGCGTGTTCATTTTCCACTCCCTTTGCAGGTTGATGATCCCTTTACCAGTTCTTGACTCCTGGCAGGTGTCCTTGTGACATAAGTTCCAGTGAATCATTTGGGCCACAGAGTTGTGCCTCTGTTTGTAGTCCGTCTGTGCAATTTTCTTGCAGCAGCTGAGATGATCCATGGTTTCATCAGCTTCCTTGCACAGTCTGCATTTTGGGTCATCCGCTGATTTTTCAATACTGACCTTAACTGCATTTGTTCTGGTGGTGGTGGTTGTTGTTGTTGTTATTATTATTATTATTATTATTATTATTATTAGCCTTCTGTGTTAAAGAGTACAGGAACCACACCAAACTGCAACTTCCAGGATTCTGTAGCATTGAGCCATGGCAGTTGAAGTGCTGTCAAACTGCATTAATTACCCGGTGTAGATGCATCCTTTGAGTTACAGATCTATATTTGGACTAAATCAGAATCCAACAGTAGGTGGCGCAGATGGGCTCCTTGAGTTCAGAGGAGAGGATTCAAACTTGAAATAATATGCTGAGCAAAAGAAAGAGAAAGATTCCTGTATGAGGAATTGATAGGACTGCATAGTATAGCAGAATGAAAGCTTTGGAAAGGACTGCAAGGGTTATGTACTCCAAGTCCCTGCTGTACAGGAACATATATAAATACAGGTATTCCAAAATCCCCCAAATTGATGCAGTTTGACATGGCTTTCTTTGTATGCGCTCAATGCTATGGCATCCTGGGATTTGCAGTTTGGCGAGGCACCAAAGACCTTGTAAACTACGACTCCCATGGTTGCATAGAATTGAACCAAGACAGGTAAAGTCTTGGTTTTTAATGCAATTAAAAATTGCATTAATTCTACAGCGTAGACATACCCCCCACACTTCTGGTCCCAAGAATTTTGGATAAGGGATACTCAACCTGTTTATTACCCACAGCCATTGTTCTGTGGTGTCCCGCAGGAGACAGTATTGTCCCCCATGTTGTTTAACATCAACATGAAGCCATTGGGTGAGATTATCTGGAGTTTTGGAGTTCGAAGCCATCTGTATGCAGATGACGTCCAACTCTATCACTCATTTCCACCAGATGCTAAGGAGGCTGTCCAAGCTGCTGTGACGGTCTGGATGAGGGCGGACAAACTGAAGTTGAATCCTGACAACACAGAGGTCCTCCTGGTCAGTTGCAAGGCCGAACAGGGTTAAG